CCACAGGATGCTTAATTATACTAAGAAAAATCCTTAATGGCTAAAAAAGTCTGAATATTATATATCCCTTTCAGGCTCACTGCACACACAGCAAAGGAAAACTGAAGAAAAGTGATGACTGGAATTTTTAAAGAGGTAACTGTAGCAATTCTCATACTTCAAAGGTAAAACTTCCGTGCCTGCCATTCTCAAATGAAGATTTCCGAAAAGAAAGAAATTTACTGTAACCTCAGTGGATATGCATCTTCTGCCAAAGAAAGGAACAGACCTCAGAAGGGCTGATATAATCTATACCTTATGATGATGATCAATCCAGCTGTAGTGGAACTGGTAGCACAGCTACTGACTTTGGCATTGCACGCTGAACAATAATGTTGGTATCAAAATAAGGGCCCAGACTCGTGGGTGTCGTTCCCAGTGTGATAAGGACTGGGTCATATTTTACTAACAGCTTACTCAGGTATTTTCAACATAACTATCATGAGCAGCCTTCATAGGTGAGGTCATATTTCATAAGTGAGGTTATATTTCATAACATAATCTCCTTTCTGTTCACACTTAAATATGGCAAATGGCTTAAACAAGTTCACAATTTTTTAAAATAAAAAATAAACTGAAAGTCATCTTGGCATTAAAACTTGCAGCATTAATTAGTTTCATTCTATGAACCCTACTGTATAGCTATGATTACATTAGTTTACTGTGAAAAATGTGGATGGAGAAAGCACAGAGATGCCAACCTGTCAATCAGATCAATCAGAAAGAATCACTGTTGCCTCCATCTAGAAGGCACTTCTATACAATTTTTAAAGAGGTAACTGTAGCAATTCTCATACTTCAAAGGTAAAACTTCCGTGCCTGCCATTCTCAAATGAAGATTTCCGAAAAGAAAGAAATTTACTGTAACCTCAGTGGATATGCATCTTCTGCCAAAGAAAGGAACAGACCTCAGAAGGGCTGATATAATCTATACCTTATGATGATGATCAATCCAGCTGTAGTGGAACTGGTAGCACAGCTACTGACTTTGGCATTGCACGCTGAACAATAATGTTGGTATCAAAATAAGGGCCCAGACTCGTGGGTGTCGTTCCCAGTGTGATAAGGACTGGGTCATATTTTACTAACAGCTTACTCAGGTATTTTCAACATAACTATCATGAGCAGCCTTCATAGGTGAGGTCATATTTCATAAGTGAGGTTATATTTCATAACATAATCTCCTTTCTGTTCACACTTAAATATGGCAAATGGCTTAAACAAGTTCACAATTTTTTAAAATAAAAAATAAACTGAAAGTCATCTTGGCATTAAAACTTGCAGCATTAATTAGTTTCATTCTATGAACCCTACTGTATAGCTATGATTACATTAGTTTACTGTGAAAAATGTGGATGGAGAAAGCACAGAGATGCCAACCTGTCAATCAGATCAATCAGAAAGAATATCACTGTTGCCTCCATCTAGAAGGCAAACTTCTATACGATTAGCATGAAAAATGGTAGTATTTCCTCTTTCTGTAAAACCTCCATTTATCTTCTGACTGATAGAAAATATATTTTCCATACCGTTACATTTTACAATTTATTTATGCATCTTTTTCTTCCCTTATATTTGATTTTTTTTTTCCTATTTTTTCCTTCCCCCCCCCCCATTTCCTATAAACTGGATTTCCAGAAGTGGATCATTTCACTGAATAAGGAATATTTTTTCACTACATCCAAAAATAAAACCCAAACCAAAATGCCCCAGAACTGAATAGGCTCTTCCAAATCCAACAAAATTTCAAGGCCATCATAGAGAACAAAAGCTGCATTTCGGATACGAAAGTCGGTAAGGAAGCAATTCAAATCCTGCTCTGTGTAGGACACATTTCAGCGTTTCTGAGTATACTCAACCGTTACAAATACATGTATAATCTTTTCTTTGTCTTTAAAAGTCAGAATAGATATCAACACATCATAAATTAATTTTAAATGGGCAAAATATAATCTTTTGCAACCCTTAAAAAACCACACTTTTGTTTCTGGTTTTGTCTGCATGTAAATATTTCCTACAAAATCTCTCACAAAGTTGTACGTTATCAATCACTATATAACAAAGAAGAGTTTATCATCTCAAGTTCAAGATATGTATTTTATTTTGTACTGGTTAACTGACAAAAGTTGTCCCAGGGACCTACAGAGTTTTATAACTTACAATGCAATAACTATAGCCATTTGTACATTTAAGTTGGTTTGTTTCTAGTTCTCTTATATTTCCAACACTTAAGTTTTATTACATATAAAAAAATGTAAATTGAAAATTTAGAAATGAAGAATTTAAAGCTCAAGAGAATAAAAAAATTTAACAAACCCACTTATTTCTATAAAAAGGGGCCACAATTTCTATACCATTGGATGCCCTTTCGTAACTCTTGATCCACATGGACATTCCAGTACAATGTTTCAATATCCCAAAGTTGCTCTGCGAATCACAACCGGAAACAAGTTTCTAAACAACTGTTCCGATACAACATTTTTTCCAATAAATTCATATCTCTATAGAAAGGAAACGTATTTCACTGAATTTCAGTTTAATTTAACCTAAATTCAGGGAAAATGTGTTTGATTTGGATATGAAAATAGGAAAAACTATTCCAAGTGAAGCCTGCAGTAACCGTATTCAAAGTTCAATGCAAATTATTTTTCTTTTTAACAATATACAGTAGCTGTCTTTGTTGGACACAGACGTGGCCACTGTGCGATATTCATATACCAGTCTGACAAGGTCAGGAATTCTGAGATGCTTTTTGAAGGCAGCATTTGCCTCAGACAAAATGTTTTTGTTTTGTTGTTTGTTTTTTTTTTTTAAAATAAAAATTAAAATAGCAGCTAATCTCAGTATCAGACAGTACGATAGAGCTGAACAAGTTTTTACTTGACTTTTCTATGACAAGACAACATGTAGGTTAAGTATGATACTGAACAGTGATGTAAATGTATACCAGAAGAATCATGCGAACTGCGTGGAAACCAAAGTCAAAACACTGCCGAGTGTTGTCTGTTTGATCTGATCAGAATTCGATATCAGTTTGTTCCTATTTTCTCCACCTCTGACTCTGAATGTTTTGTTACAATAGCTCAGCTGCTTTGCCAAGGTTACACAACATACACTGTTGATGACATAGAGTATTTCTATTTACAGCACCTTCGTTACTGGTACTATGGTAATAATTATTTGTTAGGCACACTGAGTGGTCACCGATTCTTTCCTCTGCTGATGTGTTGTGTATCGTAACATTTGGTAAGCACTGGTACTAACAGAAGACTGACTTCATTTTCTCAGATTCAGGCAAAATATGAAAGAATTATTCCAACCGCACCCGCAGCAATTTTTTTTCCCCAGCTGCTCTGTACCTTAGGCTGCACTCTGTTTCCCGCTTCTAGGTCATACGTATGCTGCAGAGAAGGAATAAAGACACGTGGAAATATCTAAGCCTTTCTTCCGTAAATAAATTAAGGCCACCTGACAAAGCAAGGAGTCTGCTAGTTACCAACAAGTAGGCAGGTAGGCAGTACTGCAGACTTTTTTTCTAGCTGATGACCAGACGGGAAGCCCAGAGATGCTGAACCATGATCCCCTATTTAGCCGCTTGCCTTGCTGTCAGGTACTGTGCAAAATAAATTCCTTTATCCTTGATTTTGTTCTGAAACTCACTACTTTTTAAGAAAAAACCCAGACTTACTCAGCTTTTACAGGAAAGAATCTTTAACTAGGAACACTGTGCACTGTTGCGATAGAGTCTGCGTAGCGTAGATCACCTGAGTATTTGTCATAAACTGACATGAGCTAAGGTTCTGTGTCTGTTGATTTTTGGCAAGGAAAAAAATGCACTACAGGAAAGTCCTAACAACTTTGATCCACACCATTAACCCTACCTGCATGAGTTCTTTCACCACAGAATACTTCACACGAAATGCATACGACTTCGCCATTCATACTAGCCTTTCACGGTAAGGCCTCGAACTAGTATCCTGAATATGGGAGCGGGAGGAAAGAATGTTTTTAATTAGCACACAACGTTTTACTTGTTTTAGATTTTCTTTCTCAGATACCAAATAGAAAGTAACCCCAAAAAACAGCACCAATTCATCTACTTGTCTGAAATGCAAAAATATAATTACGATGCAAGCAAACAACTGAAAACAAATCAATACATCATCCTTTCATCTCCTTCTTAGGATTAATAATTATCTTTCAGTGAAAAGCTAGAACAAAACCAGAAGCTAGTGTAATAGGAATTAAAAAAACCCAAGTGCATAAACAATACCAGTGCAGCAGCAAAATATACAGTCATTGTTAACATTCCAATTCAACCCATTTCCAACAATTTTGTGAAAAAAAAATTGGCCATATGCTGGCCAATGCAACAAGCCTCTTTTTAATATTAACACAGTCATTCTTCACTTAAGCTATTTCTGCTTGTTTTTAAAAAATAAAATCAATTAAATAAAACTCTCTCTCTCAAAAAAAAAAAAAGGCTGTATTTTATAAACACAAAATTCTGGTGCAAATAAAGAAAGAAATAAATATCACACCCTTAATGACAAAATGAAATTTGAACTGGTTCCTATGGCTGAACTTAGAGGATGTGAGGGTAGGATTTTTGTAACATACTTTTTTTAATATTGGCTTAAGTCTCTCATTATCTCAGAGGTAAAGCCAAGCAGCTGGGAGGAACATTTTTGTCGAGATGTTAAATTTCACTACACTTTAGTTGTGACAGCAAAGTTTGAATACAATCAGAGGAACCATAAAAAGTCTTCTTGATAGGTTGGGCTCTGTGCTTTGTGTTCTTCTTCTCAACCTTCCCTCAGTCGCCAGAGCAGGGGATATGAATCCAGACTTGTCAATGCAGCAACAAGGCAGGATTGTCTACCCGCTTGCTGGGAACAACCCCAACCTTTGTTTCGTGAACTCCACTCCGTTTGCATTTTCTCTTACGTTGCATATGAAGATTAGGGGTAAGGAGGAGGCTTAGAGAGACAGTTGAGAGGGGCACACTGAGAGCTGGAATGTGGCTGCTCTTCTGGAAGAGCATTAGGACTGAAAATTAAAAAGAAAAGAGAAAAAGTGCTTAAAATACACGGCAAACTTTTTACATGCATGTAAATAGTACAGGGCTGGAAACAAACTTTAAAAGCGGATGAAACCTCATCTATAAATCTGTAACCTCAGATACACAGTATACATAAAGAAAATCCTCAGTGCACACACATTCAGTGACACCTGGATGCATACATGAAATGCCACAGATATCCTGCTTGCCGGTTCATGTACACGATTGCCGTTTGCATGCTCTGATGAAAAACGCTGTGTGGAGAAATGAATGCATGTGTGAAACGGGGGAGCAAATTTGAAGGACAAAATACAGGTGCCATCTTTATGTGAACATTAAAGATTTTCTATATGCAGCCAATTAATTGTTCGAAATGAAGGACAGTGCCAGTCTGGAAATAAGGTTTCATCACTTTGTGAAAATGTGATCTCTTACTGAATATGACCTATTTATTAGTACATTTGTACAAATACAGTGTAACCTTCCTTGTCAGGCAACATAAGCATTACATATTTTGTAATGAACACTTCCAAAGGGTGGGGTTTTTTGTGTTTTGTTTTCTTTTGGTTTTGTACCATTTGAATCCTCTTCAATTCTGTCATATACTTTTGTCATTTGACTGTTTTTCACGTACAATTTGTCTGATAACAGCATTCACCCCTTGAGCCTCTAAACATGCATTTATAGTGTACACTGTCATGTAGTGCAGAGCAGTCTGAACCAGCTTTCGGCAAACCAGGTGGGGCTGGAGTAGCAGCCTAGCAGTGGCAGCACAAAGATAAGGGGCAGCTAACACAAACATACCCCACTTCTTGGTGCAGAGTTCCAGGGTGCTCCTGCTAGAAAAGCTTCAAATGCTCAGGTTTGCTCATTTAAAGGCAGCTCAGCAGTCTACGCTACACTGCACTAGGCAACGTGGACACAATAGCTTAAGTGAGTCCTGCATGATTCCTCAGCCTTGGCCTGCCCTGTTTTAAAAGGGTGAACTTCAGCTCACCTAGCCAATGTCAAGCAAACTGACAGCCATTAAACATTCAAGGAAAGCATGTAGCAAAACAAGATACCAAAATAGAATGCAAGTAAATGCAATTTACAAAAAAAAAAAAAAACAAAAAACAACACACAAAAAAAACCCCAAACCAACCCCCCCTCAAAAAAACCAAACAGTTCTTTAATGTGTCTGGGAAGAGTTTTTTTTCCTAATGCTTCAAATGTTCTACAGTCTTGAAGTTATTCCAAGCTCAATAGTGTGATATATGATGAAGCACAGTACGTCCCTATCTTCAAGAAAATTCGCCTTTTCCATTTTCCTTCTTTAGAAACAGTGCTGTTACATATTATCTCTGCAGCACAGACTATTGGAGTGTTGGCTGAAGGAATGCGATTAATCTATTGCTGGAAATGAATCAATTTGAAATGCCAGAGGTATTTGAAAATCTGCCACTGGAAATGCCAGCGGTTCCACATATAGCATTTACTTAGGGAAACAAAGAAATGACATGGTGCTTGCTTGAAGACAGAAACAAGTGTGCACCATCACCATTAAGAAAGTAGATCGCAGTGTCCACATTTTCAAATAAGAGAAGCCTAGGAGACTATGACCACAAATCCACAGGTATTACAATTCAGCAGGAGCTACAGTCCTTGCACCTCTGGGGTTATTTGAAGATCATAGACTTATATGTCTTAGGACAGATTCTGTTTCACATTAGTGCTCCTGAAGATGAGCTTCCTGTTTGCAAAACGGATGGTGAGAGTGGGTTATAGAAGCTCAGGACCTCACAAGCTTTGCTTTGTGCTCAGCGTCTGAGTAGGTCAGTTCCAAAGTGTTCAGTGTTATGGACTATGACTCCTCAGTTTACATATAGATTTAGTCTAACCCTACTCACCTAGGCATAAATATTTAATCTAAAATATTTTCTTGAAGCTCAGTAGTTGGACTTGTTTAATCAAATACTCTGAGAAGACACCAAACCTGTCTTCTCTAAGTAATTCTTTCCATGGCTGTAACTATCCTTTTCTTCTGCCACATACAGATGCAGATACAGCATCTAAAGAGGGATCTGAGAGAGATCTTTGCCTACTCCACTCAAATGAGTCTGTATCAGGAGTGACTGCAGATGGACCCAAAAGGTCTGCGTTTACTCTCAAAGTTATCCACTCATCAAGAGCCAGCTCCTGGCTTCAGCATCTCCTAAGTTTTCAAGATAGGCTTTAGGAGAAGCACTAGTCTTAAGTCCTTCAGAGAAATAAAAGTGAATTAGAACTTTAACATCACATTTGAGGAAGACAAACAAGGAGGTGGTCATGTTACCCTACAAAGCCTGCCTTACTCTCCTCCCTTGCTGCCCCATTTCTTTTTTCAAAGGACTTCCATAATTGTCAGAAGGGAACAGAAACTTGACAGACATTTTCCTTGCACATTAACAGAGATGTGTTTGTCTTTTGGGGCTTCCTTCCCAGCTTTGAAAATAAGCAACACAAGATGTTTGTGCTCTGAGGGAGAGGACTGGTGAGGAAATGGCCATAGTTAAGACTAGTTACGTACAGCAATGGCCTAGAACAGGACCTCTTTGAGACACATGAGATTCTCCTCTACACAAATATGCACAACCATAATAATGTTTTGGCATGACCTTCAGTACAGTCAGCCGTGACCGCAAATACTGCAATACAAATTATCCCAGACTAAACTCAGATTAGGAAGCACTGTGCTTAGAATGACATTCGCTTTCTCTTCATGGTAATTCTGCGTTGCTTCTCACTTTGAAATACAAGCACACTTCTGTGCACAGAAGAAGTATAAAACCTTGTCTCACCATTCCCCTTTCAACCAATAATAACTATTAGGGGCATTAGGAAGAGAAAAAAGTTACAAGGTTATCAAGCACCTTTGCAGTCACTTGCAGTCCCAGTAGATTTGAATCTTATCCTAACACTCTACTGTTAACCATCCTCTCTTCAGAAACACAATACATCCAGTTCATTAATGCAGGTTACTGTAGCAGTACATAAACAAAAATTATATCAGAATCGGCAAGTGACACGTGGCATGCAGTGTGCTTTTTATGGCAGTATAGGAGATCGTGGCAGCAGGTCCTGGAGCTGAGCTATCAGGCATATTGACAGTCACGGGCAGTAGAGGATGGCAGGTGAGATTAATAACACGAAGCAAGAGAGATGGAAGAACCTGAAGCTGTTGACTATTAACTGGGAATAAGGAAGAACACTGTTACATCCTCCCCATGGGATATGCACAGCTTTTAAAACATTTGGGTTTAATAGACATTTTTGTAAACCTCCCTATGAAGGCCGGTATCATTTGGGGATTTATTCATTCAGTCGATGAATGAGGTCTGTGTCATTTTTTGTTAGTATTATTGTCTGGTTTTAGGCAGCTCTTTTTTTCCCCGGCACTCAAAATGCTAATTATGTATTTCTAAAATCATGCAAAGCATACTTAATATTGAGTATATTAATATACTTTGCATACTCAATGGCATGCAAAGCTCTTCGGTGTTAGTAAGTACTCTGCTCTCTGTCTTAAAGATACCATTTGCATGCAATATTGTCTGGCATTGATTGTAACTGTAACAAATCAGGAGTGGAAAATATAGACAGACCAGTGATATTTTCAGAATGCAACCATTTTGCATGCAGTAATATTTTACCTTATTTTTTAATTTATTTGCTATTTTATATGAAAGAAAAGCATTATTTCTTGTTAAAAATTAATATTAGTATCATTTGCAGTCTCAGGTTTTTGGGGGTTTGTTTTTTGTTTTTATTAATAGGTAACTTGGGTCTAGAGTTTGGCCTCTGATAACGAAAATGAGGTTTTCACTGCATTCAATAGAAACCTGAATACGATCCAAAGACAGACACACTCTTTTTGATATTGATGATGACAATATTTTAGTCTTGTCCAATATAGTCCATCAGACAGGTAGCTACAGATGCTAGGAAGGGTGAACGTCATCCAGTAATTTTCAGGGTAGGCCTAGATTTGGTTGCTTGCCCCATGCTCCTGGACCTAGAAGTTGAGGTGATGCATGGAAGGCAGAGCGAGACTTTCATGCCTTGTTGCATCAGTTTACTTAGAAAATCTCTTAAGAAAAGTTCTCACGGATTCTTCAGATCAGGTTTCAGGTGAAATAGGCAGACTTAAGCAAAAGGACAGACAGATGTATAGCTAAATAAATTGACTAGATGTGTCCTGGAGTTTCATTTGGCTTGAATCTGTCCATAGCTTATCCAGTGAGGTTCACCAAAACCTATGCACTGGAATCACAATTACTAGAAAATCCAGAGTTACACAAGTCCCACTTAAAATTCAGTATAGATAATGGATGAGGGAAAACTCTCTGTATTTGATATTAAAGTTCAGAGTGAATCTGTCTGTGTTATGGTCAGGCATACTGACTAGTTTGAACATGATTAGACATATTGCAGGATGCAGAAAACATCTGTGTTAATAACAAGTCTTAACAAGCTATTGTTTAATCCTGGGTGAAATCCTACTGAGAGGTCACATTACTGCAAGAGTAATGTTGAAGACTTAAAAAACAAGCATACCTCTCTCTTAAAATGGGTGACTTCAGGACTGGGCACAGCTTTAATCTGCCTCATCAGAGGCAGATTTCAATCATCACATGACTGAAAGCACGTGTGCCATACCAGGAGGGACTATCAGAGGACAAGGAAGGGCAGTACAAGCTCCTGTCTTCCTCCTCTGCTGCATTTAGAAAATCTGAACCTCAGTAAATCTAACTGGCTCTTTATACGCCTTCAAATTTTATTCCAGATTTCAATTACTTTATTTAAGGCACTCAACAATTTATGCCATCGTGCTGACTTGCATTAAATCTGTTGTCACACTTCACTGCTTTACGAGACTGTGCAGCTATGCGGCCGAGACAAGCAAGGCAACAGTATTAATGTATCAAAAATAGTGTGTTGTTTTCACTTCACCAGAAGAGTATCAATCTAGCTGTAAAAACCAACTCATTTGAAGTCAATAGTTCAGCTAAATATACAGGTGTGTGTTGTTTGTGGGATGACTGATCTGAACTTTTAAAAATATTAACCATGTTTTGAAATTATCATTATTATTTCCCGTATACCAGGGTTTTGATTTGGAAACATGGCAAGAAAGTCCTCTTGAATGACACTTCCAGTTCTGGTTGTAGCTAATGAGGTCTTCCTCACTAAGGAAGAATTCAGGGACAAAGCAGAAAACCCTGAGACTTTCCTTTGGACCTTATTCCTTTTCTGTAGGTTTGTTTGCAGGACAAGGTAATGCTTGCAGACAAGTGTATAGCAGTAGTAGATCAGGTAGCTCTTCCATTCTGAGAAGAATTTTTAAAATTGCAGGAGCGATTGTTAGCATTTAGAGAGGGATGGTATTAGAGCGTCTTCTCCACCAGGAAAGTAGCTCTGGAAGGCACAGAATAGGCTTTGGTTTTGTGATGGTAAATTAAATAGGGTTAAAATAAGACTTGTCGACATTAAACCTCTGTATAACCAAAGCACCTAATGATATTCTCAAATTGTTGTAACATCTAGAATATAGCAGAAACCACTTCACAGGGATTTTAAGGATTTTAAATGGAACCAGTAACTTTTTTAGTGTGCTGCAAAACTCCAAACTGCAAACCAGTAAATGGTACTTAACAGTTATAACGAACTTTCACCAACTTCTTAGTAAATTTTTTGTAATACCTTTATATAGTAAGGAAGTTAATAATACTTCCACTTTATAGGCAATAATAGAGAGGCACAAATGAAGCAGCGGCTCCAAGGCCACCGAGGGACCCTCTGTGACTCGCAGAACTAGTGCTCAGCAGTGGCAGACGTGCAGTCTGAAAGCTGTACCGCACCCATTCCCCACGGGGCATCACTGCAGGCTTCCACGCAGGTGAAGTTTAGCATTGCGTGGGAAATAGCTTCATTATGCGTAGGGCTATAGATCAGCTTGGTCACTACAGATCAGGCTAAGGTCTAAAAATAATGTAACCTATTTCAAATGAGGGAGTATAGTCATAAGTGAATATATGCACAGAATATACTGTGAACTGTTAAGAAAAGTATTGCAATCTCTTTTTGCTTGGGTTGGTTTTTGTGCCTTGATTAACTCAACTGTCTCAGAAGCATGATTTGGCCTTTGTACCACCTACGAGCAAGGACACCAGGAGTTTACTTTTAACAAGATTAAGACCTGACTGCAGCAGGACTGAGTTTTCAGGACAGGGAGAGGTTTCTCAGAAGTGTCTGCTAAAATCTCACAAATGCCTTTAAAATACTACCTTATAAAAAGAGAAGCCTACACCTACCCCTAAAATTAAAAGTCCCCCATTTATGTAAATTTATCTAGCAACAAAATAAAATCATTACTATTTTGGCATCACTGAGAAACTGTCTGCATAAAGAGACCAAACGAGGACTGCAAGATCCAACTTTGCATTCTTTTCCATATTTTTACATGGATATAAGTGTGTGAATGTTATGATTCATGTTTGTACTGTCACTGCAGAAATTATCACTGTTCCTCAAGTTGTTAAAAGTTTGCTGTTAGTGAAGAATTGCAGCAAAGAGCTTTTGTATAAGGAAGAAGAGGGGAGTTGCAGATGTGCATGCAGCTATGTGCAAAGAGAAAAGAGTTAGTTAAGTTTACCTGACAGTCTGGCAATCTGGCCCCCTGGCTAGTTGTGAGCCGTGTGGCGGTATGGAGGCAGCAGGCTGCTGACAATCTACAAGAAACTGATAAATTAGACATATATACAGAGAGATTACAGAGCAAGGGGTTAGTAACAGTAGTACACAGGCTATGCATCTGATGGAGAGATTTAGTGAGGAATGTGTTCTTGGTTCCTTATCTGACAGAAACACCTTTTTTCTGATAGTAATAGCATTAGTTGTTGCCTTTTTTCTTTTCACAAGAAGCAGTGAAGACATTTTTGTTTGTCTTCCCTTAGCATTGACAAATTTTTTGTTTAAACAGACAGCAATAGTGGGCTGTATTCAGGATCTGGGTTTAAACCTTGTACTCATCGTTCTGCTGCTGCTGAAGTTGTTTTGCTTACATCTAATATAAAAAGTGTCAACAAAGCTACTCAAAATTTCTGCAGAGAACTTCCATACATATAACAACACTTAGAGATGCCATCTCATTATGGTCTTCGAGAAAAAGCTTGCAAGAGGGTCTCCGCAATTACTAAATAGTGCTTGTGAGATCATTTTTTGTAGCGAAAAGGGAGAAACTGATACAGTCTGTTTTCACTGTTCTGTCTAGATTATTTTATCAATTCTCTGCTAAAGCAGTTTCCACATTAATCACTTGCAAAGCTGTATTCTAGTTCTTAATTTATTAAATAACCATAAAGCCAAATAATCCTTTGTTGCTATGATTTTACTGTGACATTTGGAATATGAAAACACCTTTAAACTCAGTAATACTTGTGGGACTTAAGAAAAGTAGTTGAACGAGACAACCCTGCTTTCTAGCTCATTAGTTTCTACCAAGATTTCCAGATCTCAAGATTGGCTAATTTTCCCTGCAGCAGTCTGGCATTTCATACCACAGCCTGTGTGATTCAGATTGTAGACAACAGAGTCATCAGGGTCCTTTCAAACATTAAAATCTATGGGTGAAATCCTGACCATCTGGAAAACTACTGGGGATTACTTTTTGTCTCCAGCAGGGTTTGCAGATCTATCATCCTCTCTGCTTCAACTTGATTCTCAACCTGACTCTTCAGTGGAAAGGAGTTACTTTCCCCTGAACCTTAAAAGTGAGATAAAAATGAGATGACTAGACTTCATGTACTTGGAAAGAATTTTATTTTTTTTCCCCCCAATTGGCTGCTACTTAAAGCTCAACACCAGTAATCATTTCTCTTTACATGTGGATGTTTTCCAAAACCCACTTCTATTCTTTTTCTCAATCAAGTGGAAGAACGTGTAAGTCATTTGCTGTCAAGAGTCTTGAGATGACATCAGCTACAACGCAGAGCAACCCACCTTCCTAGCAATACTGAGCATCATATGCAGTATCCTAACATTTCCCTTTCATACAAGCCCAGAGTGTTTCTCCCTACTTCCTATGAAGATCTGTGCTGACCTCCAGTGGGTAGAAGCAAGTGTACCCAAATCACTAATTTCTTACTGCTTCAGCCAGGAGTACAGGGTTTTGGACCTATTTTCAAGTGCACAGGTATCTGCATTGGAAAAATACATGCACAGTTAGTGCTCACACCATTGTGTCAGGAAGCAGAAATGGAATAAGAAAGGATACTGTGCCATTCTCTCATATGCCAGGATGGCCACTATAGTCCTCAGTGTGTCTTTTAGCAGAGGAGTGCAAGAGTTTGCAATGTATTTGAGCCATGAATAGAAAGGTCTCTCATTTCAGCACAAAGCTCAATTAAAAGAAAAGGTGCCTGGGGGGACAGACAGAGCAGGCTAACTGCAGATGGGAAATTATTGTAAAAAAAAAAAAAAAAAAAAATTTTTTTCCCTAAAAAAAAAAGTTTCAGAAGTCCAAAGCACAGTCATCCCTGACAGCTTATAGAAGGTAGTCAGTAAGAAAAGGAATACAGAACAGAATGCTGTGTGATGAAAAGGTGCAGACAGGTTTCATAAATACAGAAGAAATTGTTCCTACAGGCTTTTCCAGAACAACGCAAATGCCCAACTTATGATCCTATTCTACCCTCTCAAACATCCTGCAAATATTTTATGATGACTCTTCATCTGCTAGATTTGGCAGAACACATGAATAGAGAGCCAGATTCTGCAAGCATTATGCAACCTGGATAATAACTATTCGATGTGAGCAAACTCCCTCGACTTCACATGAAACAACAGTTCTACCTGGCGTCAGCAATGCTCACACAATGTGGCTCACACTCACATCAGTACAATATCTTGTGATCCACATGACTTAAAATGGCTGAGTCGTCCTCCTACATCCTCCAGGAGTGAAGTTTTTGAGGATTAGGCTAGGAAAGAGCTAAGCAGAATGCATATGGCTTACATATATGTATTTCAAATTCAAAGGAGCTCTTATCTACTTATGTCCAAGTAGCTGTGCCACAGCTAACTTTATTCTTTATATATTTAATCCTTTTAAATATTTTGGAGAGTTTATAACCCTATTCTCTAATACCATGACAGTCAAACACAATGTAACAAGAAGTCATTTTAAAGGTGAAAATTAGAAGCCAGCATTCAGTCCTTCCCTGCTACTAAAGAACTCAGGCCTGTATCAAATAAATGTTTGTTTCTTTCTGAAATACTCTGTTGAAGGTTAAAAGTTTCAAAGATACCTTTACTGATTCTGTGGTCAATGTCACATACCATAAAGACAAGGAAAGACAGACATGCTCTCTTTTACTAAGAAATAAAAACAAATAAAAAGATTTAAAAAATTACGTTGGAAGAGGCCTGTTCCCAGTATTTTTCAATTTTCAAATCTCAGGGAGTGTCAGTTGAGCTACATAGTGAAAGGTTGCTATTTGAGTAGAAGACACTTGGGAAACAGACACAGATTATACTTTCTGGTGCGTCTTCAGAGAATACCACCAACAAAATGATTAATAAAGTTATTAAATACAGACTATCTTATTTCTCCATCATCTCCAGTTGCTGTGAGGAAATAAACTACTGGGGGCAGGGGGTGGGCTGGCTGATCTCTTAAGAGCCCTTTTACAGTTCTATGAATGTATAACAAACAAATGAAGTTCAGTGACCATTTCAACCACAAAAGGCAAAGATGAGCTATTGTACATGTCAGTTTTCACTGAATTCAGCAGGACTTGAGTCTGTACAGAGTCCTGTGGCAGTATCAGACAACGTACACCACTGCATTTGTTGGAGCTTTGAGGCTTGACTTGTGCTATACGTTAGGCCTGTTCCGATTTTCCAGTTCTTAACATTTTAGCCATTTGCTGGCAACGGTGGTGTAAAGGGCTCAGAGATTTCCTCTCTCACAGATTAGCCAGTGCTGATTTGCCTTTAGAATCTAATGCCCAGTCCTAATCAGGCTAATCAGCTCCTGATGTAAGAGCATGAAAAATGCCAAGCTCAAAGAAGCTACATCTGCTCATATGAGGACTGAATGCGCGGCTATAAATTATGTGCCGAGAGCAAATCTCGCAAAAAAGTATTTTCCTGTACTTCCCTTTGGTTCGGCCACAAAAACAATGCATTTCCCCCATGTCACAAGGTGTGCTCTGCCCTCCAGTCTGTGAACTGGGTGACTCCAATCAACACAGGCCTGCTTAACCGGGTTATTAGTGTCCGAGAGATGGGCATGCCTTCTGTTGACATCAGCAATGTCCTCAGTGAAAATCCTACGTGCAAGCATTTTCAGTCCCACCTGCTCAGGACCCAGCATACTGCAATGGAACATTTCAGCACATTTTGACACTCAGTAAATTACTAATCTCTACATAGTGCTGTCAAAGACCGAGACCAGTAAGAATCCCAAGATAAGCATTGGGGATGCTGTGAATCAGTAACTGACATATAACATGCTTTTAACTGTGTCTAGTTCAGTTAATCAATGGAGAGCTTTTTGCTATTTAATCTGAAAGGGTAAAATTAAGAGTCAAACAACAAACCAATCAAGCTTTTTTTTTTTTTTTTTTTTTTTTTTTTTTACGGTTTAAAGCTACATATTCTATACTGATAAACCTTTTCAGATGCAGATAATGACATCTGATGCTTAAGGAAATTTACTGATCACTACAGGGATCAGATTTTTTTTTTTTTTTTTTTTCAAACACAGGTACTGTTACATATTTGGTATTTCTGATATGAAAAACATTGGGAAAAATCTGTTCTTGATAAAAGAAAAGCTCTCAAGAAATGCTTGTGACTAAATGTGAGATTGAGGCTTTTTCAGTCTTTCCAGACAAGCTCTCCTTAGCATCTCATTGACCACTCCAGGCCAACAGAAAGTCCTTCTTTCATAGCTAAAAGTTTTCGAGCAATCTCACTTTGTGTCATGCTACCCAATGTCAATTGAACTTGCTCCATAAAGTTTGAGGAATTTGATAACACGTCTATGAAGATGTTATTGACAATTTACTTGAAAAGAGAAGCTGTCTCCATTTATATGGTAATGAATTGTTTTCTTCCCCGAGATGTCAATTTAATGGGAAAGAATGAATGGTTAATAGCATGAGTCAAAAGTATTGGGCAAAGAACAAATCAGTAGTCTTCTAGTTGTGCAGAGGCAGAAACACATTGCATCACACAGCAAGTCCTACAAAGACAATAAATCAGTCCTCTCTACTCAAAGGTGGGGAACAAGGAAAATTTCCAAATCCAAAAGACAAATGTGAGATGTCAAGAAGAACGGGGTAGAGGGTACTAAAACACTCACCCACCTGCTGAGTTGAGATTTGTAGAGATGCTTTCAAACTGTAATCTGACAAGATGAGAAAAGTCCCAAAACTGCTTCTGTCCAGGGGTGATGGGGACATAAGTTTATACTATTATTTGACTAGCTGGTTTCACTTATAATTTATCTCTGTTTTTCTAATGGATGCCAAGAAAACTTTGACCTTCCTCAAGGCCAAGAGGAACTTTAAGTGGTAATGGTTATCGCAAAGAACAGCTGGTGAGAGGACAGCTGTGGCTTACCTTAGGAAAAAAGCATGAACAATGGTACAGGTCAAAGATTAGAAGAGTCTCTCCCTTCTCCTGCTTCCGGGGTCAGTTTGGGTCTGGGAATAACACAGTT